CACTGCATAATGGAAACAGTACATATTGGATAATTGGAGATCATAGGGATTCAAGAGTTATTTTAACTCTTATTTTTTTGTATTTCCTTAATAAAAAATAAAATAGACCACACGTTTTTGAAAAAATTTAATATATTATACCCCCCCTCCTTCACTAAATTACATTTAGACTAATTTTCAGGTCTGAAGGCAATAAACTACACCTAATAGAGTGAGATAAAGTAAAAAATGTCTACCCATTGGGGAGAATGGATTTGTATACTTTTTTTGGTTTATCAAAGTATACATTTACGTAAACTATGTCTAAAAAACTTTCCATACAAATTTGTAATCATCTGACTATTTTTAAACTAAAATGTTATAGCGCATCATAATTTCATATTATAAAATATGTAAATTGTTTGGGTATTTTTTTTTTATTTTGAACTAAATTTTAGTCATATGCTTTGTGTCGCTTATTTAAAATAAAACAAATTTTAGCCACCTCTAACCCTTGGCCTATTAATAAATAGGTGTTGGCTATTTTTCCCTAATAGTCAATAAAAGTTCCTCATTACCAAATAATTTTCATCTACTTTTACCTTATTAATTCAATAATTAAAATTGTATTATTTGCATGAAAAATTAATGCTGTTTGAAATACAATATAAATTTATTTATCATATTTAAATAATCTAAATTTTAGTCATTGTCACTAATATTCCGTCTCTTTTTAGATTATACCGCACTACCAACACTAAAAATTCTTTCCGCTGTGCAACGGCAATGACAACGACAAAGACGGCAACGACGGAGAGAAGGTCTAATTACAAAATGTAATTGAAACCGACTTTTATAATGTATGATTTTTTTTAATTTTAGAGTGGGTATAGAATTCAAGATGCTTATACTTTGAGTAAAGCTTCTTTTTTTTTACACTCCTAATTTATTTTCAATAACGATATACTTATACTTTTTTTTGGCCATGAAAATAAAAATGTACTAGCATCTTCATCTTTATGCTCACTGCTCAATTAATTTCTACTATTCTACCATGATCTTCAAAACATCTTTTTTTAATTTTGGACACTTTCATGTAATTATTACATATAGTATATTAAATTATATTGTAAAGAACGTGATTGATATTAACCAAGAAGGCACTATTACATTATCATAAAAGTAATTCTATCTCGTTACGTTATGTTTTTATAACAAAACCCAAACAACTTTTAATAATGTCAGCTGCGAAGAAAGAATTTGGCTCAGTGAAAAATCTTTGAATTATATCTTTAAAAAGTTTGCTTCTTTTTCTATACCTTTCTATGTCTTTAAAACTATAGCTTCAAAATACTTAACAAGGTATTAATCATAATATATTAAATTTAAACTACAAAATGTTTAAGATCTATGTTTAACATACGGTATTTATTGATAGAATATTTTAATGTATACCTTTGAAAGAAATGGGGTTGAAGATGAGGTTGTGGGTGGGAATGGGAATGGGGTTGGGGGTGAGAATTAGCCGGTAAATAACCGAAAAAGTTTTTCAGCCGAGTCTGCAACCACGAAAGAGCATTTTCATGTCTCGTTGAAGTACCGAATAAATATAGATTAGTTGTGGAATTATAATTAAAAAAAAAAAAATTACATGAAGCTTCCAATTACAGCATAAGCCAAGGGGATTAAAAAATTATGTACAATCATGTTTCTGGCTAAAATTGTAGTGTTTATTATCTGGCCAAAAGTAACTTAACATAGAGAATTAAACTATTTTGAATTTATTATTTAGTTCTTATTTGAACGTTGAACGTACAACATATCTCTTATTTACTATATCTTACCCCTCTCCCCTACGCACTATCTCCCGTCCCTATCACTCACCCCTATCTCCTGTCCCCAACCCCAACTCTATCTCCCACACCTTATCTCCTACCCCTATTTCCATCTCCAACCCATCTCCGTGTGGTAACGCTCTTTTGGTAACGCTGTTTTCGTTATGCTTTTTTTCGGTTATTTGCCACAGCTAATTCCACCCCTTTCCCATTGCCACCTCATCTTCAACCCCATTTCTTTTTTTGTAACGCTTTTATGGTAACGCTTTTTTCAGTTATGTGCCAGAGCTAAGACATGAAAATGTCAAAAAATTGTTACCAAAAAAGCGTTACGCTGTCACGCGCCGCAAGGTAACAAAAACTACGAAGCGACGACGAAAGACAATTATCGGAAAGACCATTTTGGATCCATTTCGAATGTTAATCTGTTACGCTGTTATCTGATATGAGATAAGAGATATGTTGTACGTTCAACGTTCAAATTATAACTAAATAATAAATTCAAAATAGTTTAATTCTCTATATATTAAACTATGTTAAGTTACTTTTGGCCAGATAATAAACACTACAATTTTAGCCAGAAACATGATTGTACATAATTTTTTAATCTCCTTGGCTTATGCTGTAACTGGAAGCTCCATGTAATATTTTTTTTAAAATTATAATTCCACAATTAATCTATATTTATTCGGTACTTCAACGAGACATGGAAATGCTCTTTCGTGGTCGCAGACTCGGCGGAAAAACTTTTTCGTTACGCTTTGTTCGGTAATGTGCCAGAACTAAGACATGAAAATGTCAAAACCAAACCAAAAGAGTTAGAATAAAACCCTCATTGAATGAAAGGCTTAATACTATTTTCTCTGTATATTGGTAATAGTATATTATATCTATAGAAAAAGACACCCAAATTTCAAAAAGTAAAGATTACGACCATATTGAGCAATTTCGACGGGATGTCGCCGACCATATAAATATATCGAGTTTCATTAATCAATCGCATTTGGTACTCAAGGCTGAATTGTGGTCATCCATTAGTAATGGGCTGAGAGTGTGTCCAAAAACTGATGGTCTGTGCCGTTTATTGATTTCTTAAATTCAACAATAGATACTAGTCGAAAAACCATTACAAAGTTTTCGCTGGAATCGTGGACTGCCGCACATTTGTCCTCTGACCTTTTGGTGCTCAAAGTAAAGAACGAAAAACCTTTAACAATTATTGGGAAACACGGTTGTTTAAATGTAATTTATGTTTTTTTTAGATTTTGAACGGGTATTTGTATGCCCCAATATTTTACAGAGTGTTCGGTCAAATCTATTTCGTAGAGAACTGCTAACTTACTCTACAGTATTTCTATGAAAAAATGAAATTGTACACTTTACTGCAGGTGGTTCGTGAGCTGCTCAGGTTAGCCATACGGTTTATCTCACAGATTTGACAGCCGATAGCATCACTATTTGATTAGACTACAAAGAGCGGCTTGCTATTATCGTTAAAAATCATAGACTGAAGCGGTGTAATTGTAGTGATGAACGCAGCCGACAGGCTCAAAAATAAAAATAGTAAGGTTCAAAATACACAATATTGGGATCAGGAAATAATACCATGAGCGCTGTGTGTTATAAAAAATGGCCGCTGAAGTAGGATAGATAACACAGGTCTAATACAAAATATAATGTTAAAGTAATAATATAATGTTAACTAATTTTAATTTTTAACTCATTTAAGTCTGAACCTCTACTATCAAGGGATACTGCAAGTGCTCGTGTTCGTATTGAACGAATAAACCAAAGAATTAAAACTTTTAAAATTGTTTAGAACAAGTTTCCTTGAGCTCACGTTAACTTGGCAAATGATATTATGTACATTATATGTGACATTTGTAATTTAAATAAACTTTTATTTGCTAATGGCAAATTCAACATAATCTGATTAAAAATAACACTATATATTATATTTTTGCATAATACATATTTCATGAACTAATTTTTCATAATAAATTATTTATAAGTTTTTTTAAAAATGTTTCACAAAAATTATTGTCAATATTTACTTTAAATACATGTATATTATTTTCTAAACTACTGTGTATTTATAAGTCACAGCTTGTAACATTTGTCATTACCATTCCTAATTGAATTTGTGCATAGTACTTATGTTTTTTTTTCAAGTCATATTCTCCATTTGAATTAAGTTTTATATAAGATAGATTATCAAGTAATTCGTTTAATTTTTACGTTTTCCCCATGAATGGGCATTTTATTTCAATCAAAACATTTGGTGTTAGTTCATCATCTAAAACAATACCATCTGGTGAATAACTTAGCCATGTTACTTCGGTCCACATTATACAACCACATTGAATAACACGCTTTCCTGTTAAGTTTGTATACTTTTCTCTGGCAGAGTTTTTATATTTTACACTGTGTTGGATATACTTATTGTTAATTTTTGTAGGCCAAAAGTACTTGCTAGCTTTTAAAGCCCATTGTGCATCAGTTTTTTGAGTTAGACCAAAGGTATATAAATTATAACACCTGCTTCCAGTTATTCTGATTTATCTGTTGCAGATCTTTTTCTTATATATTGAGCATCATATTTTATGAGCTGCATCCAAATTTCTCTACAGCAGTCTCCTAAATCTAAAACAGGATACTTAGAAATTAGAAGTAAAATTTCATGAGGCTTTTGAAAAATTAATTCTTCCTCAGAGGTATTGTATAAATAATCATTATTAGATGAATTATCATATCTTTCATTATGAGTCGTCCTTTTCTATGAATTGCTAATGCAGAATTTGGATCGACCGCTTCAAAACAAGATCTAAAATAATAATAACAATACAATGCATTTATAAGTTTTAATTTTTAACATAAATCCATGATTTTACCAGTGTATATATAATCATATCTTAAATTATAATTAAAACTCAAGTAGTACCTAATTAAATGTCCTGACATTTTTACTGTAGGTATTGTGGCTCTAGTTTTAAAGCAACAAAAATCTTCAACTGGCACTGGCTTATATTGTTGTGAAGTAGGTTCTTTTAGACGAGACCATTGACATTTAATGTCTGTTAATGAAAGATTTTGGACATCTTCAATATCAGTCCTAACAAAAAAAAATGTAGGATGGTACTTATAGTTATAATATTATTTTTTTTTAATTAAAGACTAATAGCAATCTTACTTATTTAAGAATAGGAGAACTGCAACAATGTGCTTACAACACTCAGACGCTCCTGCAGGATAAGTACACAAAGTGCTTTCTATGCTTATTTTTTTAGTTCCGTGCTCACGTTTTGTTTTGAAGGAGCAATTCACTTCGTGTGGCATACTTGATAAACATGATGTACGTAATACTAAGCTTTTAGTAGCAATCGTTGAACTCTAAAAGTAAACAGTAACATAGTTTAGATGATGTGATTACCGATGAGAATTGTAAATTATTTCAACTACTATTATGATTGTTAGAAGTTATACTTACATTTTCATTTTCAACTTTACCACATAAAATAACTTTTTTACCATTCAAAACACATTCCCCTTCAATTAAATTTCTTGAAGAAATTGTACACTTACAAAAAGTAAATATATCAATTAAACTTAAAGACATATTAAAAGTTTACCAAGTAAAATTAACAATTATATATTTGTAACTGTTGGAAATTGTATGAATTAAATATTAATCAATACATCAACAATTGTTTTTTTGATATTTCAAAAATTTAATGATAATATCAATTTTAAGAGGGATTCGGATGTTTATTTATATAAATTTGTGTTAAAATAATAAACATTAGGCACCGAGGTATATAATTTGAAGCATAAATGTCTTAATATTTTATTGGTAAATTTTATGTATATAGTTAATTTATGTATGAATCCTACGTAATTATAATTAGAACTTTTTTATGTTGGTCCTGTTTATGTTGGTTTACACCATATATATTATACATATCCATTTTATTATATTATATTATAGCCGGTACACACAGAATAGATTAGTCTACTCTTTGGTGGAACATGCTTTTATTTTATATGTATTGTGTAGGTACTGCGTTAATATAGTCTCATTTATAAATTATAGTTTAAATCTAGTTTAGAGCAATAAAAAAAAGTTTTTCTTTTTTAGTCGTATGATGGTCTATATCGCCAATAACATACATCCTACTTCTGCGGCCATTTTGCCTGGTACACAGATTGACCACCAGATTTCGACTACTTAGATACTAAACCCAATATAATTTCATTATTATTGGGGCGACATGCATCCGCCACGTCATTATCTATAATAACTTTATTATGTGGGAACAATGACTAGGGGAACTTTTGACGGAATGTCCAGTGGATGAAAAATTGATTCTATAAATTGTCCAACAGTGATTATGATATCTCACAATAGCACCTACATCAAAGTGTGTACGAGCAGCACTGACGTGTGCTCTCCATTCCCCCCTGCCTATATATTGAAATGTATGTAGCTATGTAACTACACATCCAAAATTAAAAATTTAAGTGCACATATATAAATATACTATAGCAATTTTAACAAAAAAAATATATGTTGCTATTTAAAAATCAAAAGTTCCTATCAAAATAACTAATTTGGGAGGGGGGTAGGAACACAAAATATTGTGGAAAATTGAGATCACATTATATAAAAACTGTATAAAAAAAAAAAAATCAATTATTTAATAAACCCAGCGAAATATTGACTGGCTCATGATAAAAAAATCACCCTGTATATTATATTCATAAAGTACTTATTATTATTAACACAAATTGTATTTCTAGGTTTTATAGGGAAAGGGTGTTATGTATTAACGTTATTAAATATTATAAACATACATATATAGTGGAGGCTGTCCACTAAACGCGACGTGCGGTCACCGGCACACTGAGCATTAACAATTGTGACGTTTTATAATAAACACTATTTTGTTATTAACTTTATTTGTTGTGTTCTGTTATATCATAGTATAACAATATATATACACAAAACCAAGAATAACGAATTTAAAATGGTATTTTCCAGAGCTCTGACCACATTTAGAACTTTAATAGTAAGATAAATCATTTATTTACTTTATTCGATTTTCTTAATTTTCTGAAAATGTTGACTGGTCGATAGCCAATTTTGGATAATTTAGTTTATTGAGTTATTAAATTTATATTTGCGCGCGTTACAATTAAAACGCTTATTAAAAATTCCTTAACTATTTTTTCTTTATTTCACTTTTTAAAGCAGTTCTAGGGATTTAGGACTGAAACGTAGACCAAATGTAGATCAAGATTCAAGAATGGAACTAGAACATGTACAATTTTCTCATAAATCTGTAGTCAACCTTTTATCACTCTCAGTTATAATAATTTCTGTAGACCTGCGACCACCCCGTCCCCACACGCCCCGGTTCTGCTGTACTGGCTTTGAGTTTAATATACGGGTTAAACGGGATCAATAAAAACATTATAAAAAAAAAAGGCTACTCTGTATGGCCAAAGGTTTTCGAACGTCGCTGCACAAACACTTACCTGCACAATACATAGTATGATGATGGATTCTGTAGGGCGATTAATCATGCGCCGTGACCCTTGGGTGGGACGCCTGGTCGTCTGGCTGTCTGGCTTACATGCACATCGATCACATTCCCAACAAGTGTTTGTGTACGATGCATTTAGGTGCGCGTCCATTTTACTTGGTATTGTCTTTTCAATTCAGTTTTGAACCGTTATATTATTTTCTAACTATTTTATCGTTTATTATGTGAACCAATACACGTACAATCGTCGAGCCCACATAATATTACAGTGCATTCGTTTTCTTGCTAATCTACGTGCATGTGCAGTTCCACCAAGAATTGTCTGCCCGAACGACACTCCAACCGATCATAAAAGAAAATCACCGTCGGGAAGGTAAAAATCTTCTTCCGGGGCATTCCAAGTAAAGTAAAAGACCTCCGACAATTCTTATGGTTGACGTGGGAGGTGTTGAACACAGGTTTTACGGGCCGTCACCCTAGAACCAGCAAGGTCAAGACCCACATCTTAGTCACTATTGATTATTTTAGTCGCCAATTAAATCGATGGCTAAACATTTTAGTCATCCCATAAAGGTAACTTTTTTATCATGATAAATTTAATCATAGAATAACAAATAAAATGAATCATGAATACAAATTTTAACATTTAATTATGAATAAATTAGTCATGATTAAAACATATTTAATCTTGGGTAATAGATAAATTAATCATGATTAAAAAAATTCACCATGACCAATAGGTAGTTAAATTAGCCATGACCAAAAAGTCAACTTTTTTGTAGGTACACACGAATTAAGTTATAAGTGATTGAAGATAAAAATGTTTTTTGTTTAATTAAGCACTCATTAGTGCACTATTTAAACTTGAATAATATGCAAAAAGTAACAATTTTTAAAGAAACTATTTTTTAAAGAAAAAAAAACAATTTTAAAAACTATGTGGAATAGGGTAAAGGAAGGTATTTTCGTGGCATAAGCAATTTCGTGATATAGTTTGTTTGATCGTATCGCGTAATTCCCTATTAGAATATTGTCTTGAAAGCCACACTGATTGTTAAAATAACAGTTATTTTTAACTAGCGGACGTGTAGATTAAACTAAAACGGATTCTGTTTTCTGTTGGCGCTAAACGTGTTAAAGAATTAGGTAACAATTTACAATGACCGCAACAGTTATTTTTCAAGACAATTTTCTAATAGGGAATTACGCGATACGATCAAACAAACTATATCACGAAATTGCTTATGCCACGAAAATACCTTTCTTCACCCTATATGTCTGTAGCCTAACAATTTGATTTAAAAAATTATTAGATATATCAAATTAAAAATTAAGACATTTTTATCTTAAGTGTTTTTTTCTGTTTCCCTTAAAACTACTTTATTTATACAAATTAATTGAATTATCCTAATAAACGAATATTACATACAAAACAAATTACTAATTACGAATAATAATATTTAAAAATATAAATTGCAAATGAAAAAGTTAATCTTGGGCAATAGTTGAATCCTTGTCTTGATGTAATGGTTTTTTTTGTGGCGGCCATTGTAAATTGTTACCTAATTCTTTAACACGTTTAGCGCCAACAGAAAACAGAATCCGTTTTAGTTTAATCTACACGTCCGCTATGACGCTGGATCTGTTAAATGTGGTTTTTACAGTATCGTTTATAAATAAACCATGAATATGTTCTTATGAAAACGAAATTTAATATTTATAAATTACAATAAATAATATCTTTGTCGTTGGATAGCCAATATTTTGTGATTTTGGATGGAAGGGTGCATAGATATAGCATGATGCATTTCTTTGGGTGAAGGGGGGGGGGAATATTCCTAAAACAAATTCTGACCATACAAAATAAAATTATTAATATAACTTTTTAATTGCCACAATAATAACAAATTACCATTGTTATTTGTTGCGAGCCCTTTTGAAATTAAGAGCGTAACAGAAATAACGGTTGTAGGTTGTAGTTGAAGTTTTGAAAAAATAAAGCCGTGTTATAATAACATTTATAATAGTTAATAATATTTATTATTAATATTCACTAAAACTGAACATATAAACAAATACAAACACTGTTAAAATAATACTGTACAGATATTTGTACAATACAATGACGCAAAAGATGTTGGTATGCCGTTCTGCGTCTCGCAAAAGATTCTTCTAGCTTCAGTGCATGGAATCATTTCACTGATGGATCATTTTTGCTTGCTATTTAAACCATAAGAGGTAACCGGATCTGGGACGAATTACATGTTCAAAGCTGTGTTAGGCAAGGCCGTTACCTTTTGCATGTACACTTTTTTACATGCATAATTTATATACTAATTCAAGTACATATTATTCGCGAAATTGTTAAATTAAATTATACTATTTGTCTATAACGACTTTAAACAATTTGCACGGGTCGTAAAACCATATAAACTGTTTTAAATTTAATCTCAAATTTATTCATTAAAAATAAAAAGCCAGTACAGTGGGGTCGAGGCATATTGGGGACGGAGAGGTCACAGGTCTACAGATTTTATCATAACTGAAAGTGATAAAATCACTTTTAAAAAAAACGTTTCAATGCGAATCTGTGAATAGTGTGTTCAAACTAGTTATAGTGATTTAAAAGATATCATGGGACCAGCAATAATGTAATTAAAATGTAATATTTAGTCTTGTGCAGGGTGGATACGATAAGGGTTGATCGCCTGTCTATAAAAATGTACTGTCATAGTTACCCATGTATCGTAATTAACAATATAATGAAAATATTTTCATTACCTGTTGACTGTTAATTCACACACACATAGCAACCTAGAAACTGACTACGGCCAAAGTGCAAATTTACCCTATTTTTGGGGTTTTTACTTAATAAAAAAAAAATTTGACTACAGATTTTTGAGAAAATTGTATATGTTATAGTTCCATTTTAGATCTACCTTTGGTTTAATTTTCAGTTCTAAATCTCTAAAACTTTGCTTGAAAAGTGAAATGAAGAAAAAAATTCTATCCCTTCTAAGGAAAAGGGTTTATAATATATTTTTGGTTTGTTAATGTTTATCGATAGTACTATGTTTGAAAAACAATTCATATAAATTTGGAACATTTTCAACTATTTTTAAAAAAGTTATAGAGCATCGTAATTTTAAATTGAAAAATTTGTACATTTTTTGGGTGTTTTTCTCGATTTTAATGGGGAAGGGGTGGCTTTTTTAAATGTTTGACCATTTATTGTACCTTTCGGGTATGATTTCTGATCTTTAGAGTTGCTACACAAAGAAATCGGTTTAGCGGCTTACGAGATATCGTGGGTCCAGACACAAAAATAAAAAATAAAAACACATCATTGTAAAAACAATACCTTCTCAGCTCCGCATCGAAGCTAAAATGAAAACGGATATGAATGCAAATTGATATTTTGAGTTTTTTGAAAAATGTGGTTTTTGAATTATACGAGTATTAATTCTAGCCTACTCAAATATAATATTTAGAGGAGAAGGAGTGGTACGTCTCATACCAATGGACAGTACTCGTATCCACCTATATACTAATTAATTGACATCTTACTATCTAAGCTCTAATATCTTATTTAATAATTACCTAAATTATTCAGCTCTTTTTATATTTTGTGTGTGTTTCATCTTACCTGCTCTATCACCGGATTACCAAAGGACCAGGTATCAGGTTTATAACCTTTATATTATAATATATATATATATATTATATTTATATTGCTTTCCATTCATTTTAATACACTTTTATCAATAACTTAATCTTTACTCGGAGTTAAGCCTTTTTAATAAAAAACATTGTGCGTTACAGTTTCAGAGTTTAGTTTTGTACGACAGCCCTTTTGCTATTCAGTCGGTTATATAAATTTATAAAGAGTCTCTAGGGATATTTTACAATAGATTCAGGGTAGCTTCCTGTCCCGGTTAAGATCTTTTAATTTAGCCCTAGAAGGCGGTCAGACGTGGGTGTGATCCACTGCACCGTAACAAAAGTCTAAAACGATAATCATACCACTATAACAACATCGCTAAACAACTACTGGCCCCTTTGCCATCCTGAAGTCACGTATTTATGATAACCGTGCAATATACATAGGTATAGTAATAAAATACAAATTTGACATTAGTTTTCCACCCCTTACTTAACGGATTGTGGTTGGGGGCTGTGGGAGGGGAGGGTGGTAGGGGGTTGTCGAAATTTGGGTTTGAGGCAATGTGTGGATGGAGGCCATAATCAATGTTCTATAATCATTTTGACTCGGATCAACCCGCGAATTTCGAAAGTCTAACAAATTAAAGTTGATGGTAGAAAACCCAGTCAAATACGAGTATTTTTCGGTTTATTGCGGTTTTGAAGATGAAGGAGTTGGCTTTTGATCCACCAAAGTATCAACCGCATACGATTTCGGATCTACAGAGGTGCTACTCGAGTAAATCGGTGTACATAAACAGTTATCATAACTTCAGACACAAAAAAAAACATCGTAGCTAAAAAAGTTTGTATAAATATTAAATACATGGACAAAAATACTGAGTAGGTCCAATTAAAATTAAGGTTAATATAATGACACAATACATTTCTAGTTGGTATAACTAAATGTTTAGTTGACCCAACTATTAAACCTACCTCTCCTAAGACCCATCCACAAAAGAACGCCCGTGGTTGTAATACAATTCAACTTAATGCAGTCTGTTATTTTGACGTTTTAGAACAAAATGCCAGAAAAAATTTCGATATAAAAGTTCTTTGGCAATTTTACTAGGTTATGTAGGAAACAGATTTTTGATATTTTGCTTTTTTTATAAAAAAAAATTGAAAATTGTATTTATTTAAATACAATAAACTTAAGATTTTTATGAAAATCAGCTTCCTACACAACAATAGTAAAGTAGCCAAAACACTATAATCTCTTTACAGAATTGAAATTGGACCGTCCTAGGTAGTCGAAATTTCGTCTGGCTTTTTGGTCTAAAATTATTATTCAAAATGACTTTTACTCATAGGAAAAAATATTTAAATTAAAAATAATACCTTGAACTGCTTGAAGCTTATACAATTAACAGATCAATTTAGTGACATGACTGTAATTTATTACAACCTTTTTCTTCTTAAATATTGCCTATACAAAACCCCTTAAAAACAGACCGCATGCAACACATTATTGTGATAACCAAAAAATATATTTTTATGGAAACATTTTTTTTCTTTTTGTGACCTTGGATGCGCTATATATTAATCACATTAGTGGAATAAAAAGACAAAACCGTTACATAAATTGCTCAACATGTATATGTTTTAGTTATTGTTTTTTATATAATAACTAAATATCGTTTAATTTATGAGATGTTCACCTAACCTTATTTAACCGCAAACGACTAAAGGACTCGTGTTATAATTTGTATGGTACTTACTTGGATTTCAATTTTTAATTTTATTAATTTTTATCGATTGAGTAATAAAATCCATAACACTATGTATTTGTATACAAATCACCGCTGTAAACGTTTTGTCGTTTGGTAAGTCGACCAAGATAAATCGTGGCATTTATTTCTTTGGAAACCTTACAAAAAAATAAATAAATAAATATATATATACTATGAATATAAATCGTAATCCAATAATTTTTATACTTTCTCATAATTCAGTTGACTGTTTAAAGCACAACCGCATGTCGCCCATTAGTACTACTAGTGTGACCACCAAACGGTCACATTTATACATGTGTAAAAATCTATAAATATATATATGTATTAAATCATAATGCGCACTGCGACCAAAGTAAAACAAATAATTATAACCAAAATAAAGTAGGCTTTAAAGCGTTGTAAAAAGTATCGGGTTTGGATTCTGCAGAACTTGAAGCATCTGATGGCTCTGTCGGGTTCCGTGAACCGAACGATGATCAAAGATTTATTCTCAAGACTTGACGAAGACAGGGAAGCGTTGGTAAGAAAATTAAACACCGGCGAAGACCTGTACCCGAACTGTGACAATTCTATATGGCTTCGAAGTTGTACAAAAGAGACTACTAGTCCAATTCATGGAAAACCCAAAGGTAAGCGTTGAATTCGACGGAAAATTTAAAACCGGCAATTTTTCTTTAATATTAAAACTCGAAAGGAACTGTTTGTTTTTCATACTAATGGTATCTTCTTTTCATCTGGCAAATAAGTATAAGTGATAGTTTGTTCAGCCTCTTACGCCTCTTATCCCAGTTATTAATGTCATACTATTGATTTTAAAAGAATACATAATATATATGTCATACATACAAGTGTAATAATCATAAACGTTGTGACAGGTAAAATACCAAAATGGTTAAACGGATCACTGCTAAGAAATGGACCAGGTTGCATGAGTGTCGGGGAATTTGAATTCAAACACTTATTCGATAACTCAGCGTTGTTACATAGGTATGCATATCATTGTATTATGATGACACTTGTTTCCATGGTGTACAGAATTTCAGTCTTCTCAAACAGATTTGCATTTGATAACGGCACAGTAACGTACCAATGCAGATTTTTGAAATCTAATACTTACAAACAAAACCACGCAGCTCAGAGGATTGTCGTCACAGAGTTCGGAACTAGAGCTTGCCCAGACCCATGTCAAACGATTTTCCACAGGTACTGTTATATATTGTTGTTTATCACAGACCACTAGTTTGAGACGTTAAGTATTAACCATTTAGGTTTACCATCAATAATTACCTGTTCTATTATTAGTTAATTATTCAGAGCTTTTATTCCTAGTTTTAAAATTACCACTACCTAATGTTTTGCTACAATCATACATTTTTTAACGTAACTGCACTTCTACAAACTTTAAACGATAATCCTCCGATAAACAAGTAACAACACATTTTTAACATTATTCATATTTACAACAGAAACGTACGGATAAACTGTTTTGTCAAGGGCAAAATTCTTACGAGATAAAATACGTAGTAACCATTGATTCCTATTTTTTTTTCAGGTTTGCCAATGTGTTCAATTGGAACTTCGACGAAACAGATAACGCAATGATATCAATATATCCCATTGGAGATGAATATTATGCACTAACGGAGTTTCCTGTGATGATCAGAATAGATCCCAAGACCCTGGAAACGCTCGATAATGTAAGTGTTGTATTTTAATGTTGAATTTACAGTTTGGTCACATTTATCATTGAAATTTTGGGGAGTTTTTTCGAAACCTTTTTAGTTTTACAATCGTCCATTTTCTTCCTTTCATTTTTGTACATATATTAAAAACCCAATGCCAAATAATTAAAAAATTACTTCCTCAAAAATCACGATAAAACCAAAATAAAATAGGCTGCTGCTAGGGTAACAAACAAAAAAAAAATCTCTTATAAAAGTTATAAAGCTTAAGGAAAGTTCGACTGATAACAGCAAAAATAGTCATAACTTTTACAATTATTAAGCTAGAGAGCCAACATTTTGTCGAGTTCAGTCAACAACATAAACAGTGTAAATTTCAGTTATTAACGTTCAATGTACCGCGAGAAAAAAATGCCCGTTAAGATGAAACCCAATCACCACAAAATTTCAATCAAATCATCTAGACAACCCAACATACTGCCTACTGGTAAAAATGTAGAAAAAAATTCGAATCACCATCTTCCTTCCCCTGAGATTATTTCCTATTGGCGCTACTGGGTTTTATTTTGTAAAAACAAACCGATAAACAATTATTGTCGTTCAATTTCACATATTATGTTCTGCTATAAATTTTTAGAGTTTTTAAAAAAATATATATTTTCGCTTGATATTAGGGAGTGTTTAGGCCTACCGGCTGTAGTTCCGCTTATGCATGTAAAGATACTTGTTAAATACTTTGATTGTCGTCACGTTTTCAGGTTAATATTGCTAAGAAAATGGGCATAGTGCACCACACTGCGCATCCGCTTTTAGCGTCCAACGGGGACGTGTACAATTTGGCGACTATCCCTAAAATAGACGGTCCTTACTATGGCGTGGTCCGTTTTCCTCGGTGCGATCCAGGTATAAAACAATTAAAACCTAATTGAATATTATTATATAGGGTGTTGATGGTTTTTTTTTCGCGATTTTGTTTCAAAAAAGAAACCGGACAACAGCATTCCGGTGCCGATGGGATGTTCGATAAAATGCACGTGGTGGCTTTGGTCAAGTGTCGATGGCCTTTGCACCCGGGCTACATGCACACGTTCGGTATGACCGAACATTACTTTGTCATAGTCGAACAACCGTTGAGCGTGTCCATACCGACGGCGCTGGTGAACCGATTCAACGGAGAACCACTGTCTTCTGCTCTTAAATGGTTCCCAGACCATCCGGTAAACAGCTTGCCCTCCAAGTGATCTAAGTGCCAAACGTAGTGTATATAATATTTCTACTTGGTAACAATGTCGTAACGTGTTTTTAGACTTTAATTCATTTGATTTCTCGAGTCGACGGACAAACAGTAACGACTTATGAGGCCGAGTCTTTTTTCTACCTTCACATCATCAACCAGTACGAAAACAACGATAGCGTAGTGATCGATATTTGCTGTTACCGAGATCCAGCCATGCTCGATTGTTTGTACATAAAAGAGTTACAAGTAATGTTACAAAATCAACACGAACAAATTTAGTATTCCCGTCGTTTTTCCACATCTTAATTCATAGCCATAAATAAATTCATACATCTCCATCCTATTATTTATAACATTTAGTCACTTCTATAATTCGGTCTACCTCTTCTGATTTAATCCTTCTATACCCCTATGTGTTCTCAACATGACCAAACATTTTTTAATCGATTGTCTCTCGTTTTTCCTGTTATTGGCTTTTTCTTAAGTCCAACTAAGGTCCTAATGTAAAATCATGGTAGGTAGTAAAAACACAATTAAATTATAGGAGATATTCAAATGCATAACACAAATTGAGCGTCACCCCCCCCCCCCCCACCAAAAACTATCCATACTAATAATACAAAAATACTTACTTTAAAAAAAAAACACTACGATGGCGATGATTTTTGTACAATTATTAGCTTAGAAGTGATGTAGTATGAATATTGCAGAATCCAATTGTTAGGGAGATTCGAAAGAGTTACTTATTAAGGGACAGAGGATAGGCAATATTTAACAAAAATAGATCATTTTAAATAATACGCCGCCTAATTTTAAGTTAAACAAATATTAATTTTTTTCAGTTATAAAACTTATAACGTTTTTTTTCTTTAAGTCGTGAAGATAGTTTAATAAAACAATTTAAATTACATTGTGCATGTTTTTTTTTTTTTTTTTTGGATCCTACGAACAGCTTTTTTCATTTATTTATCTAAATAAGCGTAATTATAAATTGTAATAAGTGTAATTTCAAAATTGTTAATATTTGTTCGTATGGTCTAGAGAAGAAAATATGAGAAATACAACGCCACTTTAAAAGTCCTTAAAGCATAATTAGATCGTTGAGTACGTTGGTGTGAATAATATAGGTATTTTTAACATGAAAAACAGTCAGTTTCTAATCTCTTTAATAGATCAAGTTAGATTTTAAGTTGATTGAACGAAGAAAATGTCCCCAAAATAAAAAAAAAATGTTAATTTTTTTTTTTACAAATGTTATAAGAACCTGAACAAAAATCCAGATTATGCAGCCATGTTCCGGAGTCGGCCGCTTAGATTTATGTTGCCATTGACCGGCCAAAAAAACGGTGGAAGATTGGCGGCACAACACCCGTTTGTATGGCCAGAGGCACTGTGCGATTTAGGATGTGAAACTCCCAGGATAAACGACTGTAGGGCGGGGATCAAGTATAGGTTTTTCTACGCCATTTCGTCGGACGTGGACGCAAAAAATCCGGGCACGGTATTTGTATTATATATATATATTATGTTTAATGTGCCAAATACTGTAGAGTTTTATAAGACTAACACATTAATGGATTCAACGTTTAAAGACGCTACATTGTATGTTTTAAATAGATCATCAAAGTGGACACTGTCAACAAAAAGTGTATAACTTGGTGTGAACGAAACGTTTACCCTAGTGAACCGATTTTCATCGCATCGCCCAACGCTGAAGTAAGTACCTCCGTAATCTATGTACGTTTTCGAACTTCATTTGTATGTGAATAAAGTTTCTCATATAAATAAAATGTGCCGTGTTACTTTAAAGCAGTAGATGTGTCATTTACGAGAGTTGAGTGATGTAAATGTCTTATAATTACGCTAAAAGTTTGGCTGATTTTTATAAATACTTATACATGTAAATTATATATTCATTTCTTAAAAAATGTTAAGAGGATATAATATGATTTTCTAAATGTCCCTCTCTGACAATCAGGTGAGATTTCGTAGACTTGAATGAAAACTTACTCAGTCTAATCGAGGCCAAGTCTTTGTGCAATGTTGAAAAATGTATAGCGTTATTTATGAATAATGCAGGCGGACAATGTGTGTTAATAGTTTGTTTAGTATTGTCGTTCGAACATAATCGTGTCATATTCTGTACCTTGTTCCAAAAGCACGTTGAACTTATTTGGTGAAGTAAATACTTTTGGTTTATTCTGGTACATTTTGGGAGAAGTAGGTTAAGAGAGAAGCCGATGCTTACTTGCCGGTATTGGCGTGCCCATATTCGTGCCCCATGTTCAGTACACATTGCGACATGATCCGAACCAACCTTTGAATATACCGATAATAGACGTCTGTACATAATGACCGATGAAACCGGACTAAACCCTGTAAGTTATTAATAATTTTTTTATGTGCAGGACGAGGACGACGGAGTGGTGATGTCTTCGATTGTCTGGGGAGGAACTGAACATCAACGTCGAACAGGAGTTTTAGTTTTGGATGCAACAACTTTGAAGGAATTGGGCCGGGTGACGTTTGACACAGAATCCCCAGTGCCAAAATGCTTACACGGATGGTACGCATTGAAAATGGTCTGAGCAAAATACTTAATTCCATTTTAAAAATAAATCATTAATATCTACCAAAAATAATCATAATAGAATTCATATAAATAGGGTTGAAGATAATAACAACAATAGTTATTATAGGGCTAACAAGAATGTGAACAATAAAAATAGTAGGATAAGTCAGCATACTAGGATTAATAATGGTAAAAGGAATTTCGTACATAGTATTCATAGGACCAATAAGAATATTAATTTGGGTAACTTTAAGTATTATAAATATTATAGACACCCCCGTGGGTTAAATAATAATCATTCTAGGGCTGTATTTAATGAGAAAAATAGGACAACTCAAAATCATTATAATGGAACTAGAAATAGGAAGTTTGAATATAATTGTAATAGGTCTACTTTTAGTGCTTTTAACGATCAATCTAGAAAGGGTATTAGCAATAGACAGAGACCCAATTATACTAGCAGACCATTTACCACTAACCAACAATATAACATAGGGAACTTAGACTATAACCTACGAACCCAAAATTATGTCGAAACTCCAATTCCTCTGTTTTCCTCTGTCTCTTGATGGTAATTCCAAGAGACAGTATAAGAAAAAGGAAAAATAAATTTCTATTTTTCTTTTGTAAAAGTATAATTTTTTTGGGGGGAATCATACATATAATTGTATTATGCGTGAATAAATCAATTATTAACTTCTGTTATGTAGCGTCTTTAAAAATATAAATATAAGTATTATAATTCTCATTTCTCACGGTGTAAAAGATTACCAGGAATAGATCTAGCAAAAAAAACACATATTTCTTTGGAGGCAGAAAACTGCCGTTGCAGGTTTTTAAAATTTCAACCTAACCGTTATACCGGAATTATAAACGTTCGTTTGTAAGGCAATGCCTTTTTCTGTTATTGCGTTGTCAGAAATGAATAGTGGACATGTCCGAGTCTTATTTTCTGACAATCCTTGGACAGCAATTCCCGATTCGCACTTCAAATTATTACTTGAATTTAACACGATTATAAAATATTATAATAGGATTCGTTGACCGTTAGAACAGAAATGATAAAACAACGTATTAAAAATGATGATTATGATTTTAATAGACCATAATAATGTAATATGTACAATCTCAGACGGTACCCAAGACGATGCTAGTAATTATGACACGCACACACCCGTATGTGCCGGTGATCGCAATAATTTGCTGACGCTGTAATTTCTGGGACAATTTTTATTATAATATTATTACGTTAGAAGGTTTTAATTTTATTTTTCATAATAGTAAATAAATAAGCAATTTTTTTTCCCCAAGACAAAATAAAGAGTAAATATTATCGGTCTGTGCCATGCAATTATGCAAACGTGTAAAAATAATTATTTTTATATTTTTCCCCATACATATAAATATATGTATAATACTTAATATAATAAAGCAATTAAGATCGAAACGTCATTTATGTATTACTGTAATTTCCAGAATTAGGTCATTTTATGGACCATTTTAGCCGTGACCCTTATTTGTCTGCCTAGGATAATATGAACTGGGTCAATTTTTTGTCCAACTATATTAGAATTTAACATTCATTTACTACTTCTGCCGTACGCCTGTTTCTAAGTCATCAATACTACCGAATTATTTACCGATTTTTATTTACATCATCGTTTTAACCGTTTATTTGCCGTTTGTTTCATCTCTAGCCGAACGATGCCGCCCGAAGCCGTTGGAGGCACTTTTATTTGGCCGCACGATGCCGCTTTTACTGTAATCAATTTGTATTTGATTTTATGTACTTTTATTTGCCGATTGCCATTTGCCATGGCCATTGATCGACGCAATCTTAATTGTCGCAGATCCATTGTTGCCGATATTGCTGCTTAGTGCCGCATTTTTACCGCAAATTCAATATTTTATTGAGTTATTTGCCAGGAGTCAAGAGACCAAAATTGTTACCACACAACATAACACGCATTTTTGAATTTCGAATATTGATCATATGGGTAGTTTAAGAGAGAGGAGTAGCTAACCTTTATTTTATTCGTCCGGATCAGTTTGTTTTTAATTTTAATTGTTATTTGTGTTATTGCGCGAATGTCATCAGCGATTTTATTAGTGGTTTATACTTATTTCCGGTTGGTTACCGATGATTTTTTTATATTTTAAAATCTGTTTATTCACATCGACTGTTATATTATTATTTTGGCAAATATTTTCCCGGCTAACCCCCGGTGACTACTTTTATGTCCAGTCTACTGTCGACATATTTTTTACACGGCACTGTCTCTGACGATCTCAGATTGACATATTTTAATTATTGAATGGCGTTTTATTATTTTTTATCAACATCAATGGACGAATATTATGTCACGTCACATGTTGACACACATTTTGCGGCATATTTATTTTTTTGGCTTTATAAAATAATTTCGGCTTAGATAATGAAATAATGACTAATATTCTACATGGTGTTTCGTTTACGATTGATTGTTTATGACTATGTATACATTAAATCGAATTTTAACGAACTTATTTTATTGACACGAGGTGTGCAGATACAGCCAGTATTTTCTTTTTACGGTGATTTTATTTTTATATGCATAATTTTGCGGATACTGATTTACGGGAGTATATGACATTATTTTGAAATATTTTCGTGAATTTTTATTTACTTATTTTTTTCTTTTAATTTCATTTTTCTTATGAAAACACTTACAATTTTAAAAGGTACTTACGTAAACTGACGTCCGAGTTGCTTGTATTATCAAACCCAAAATGCCTGACCACATAATGTCGTATACGCACCTTGGTACACGAACCGTTAAACACACACACATTGTAACAATTTTAAATTAAGTAAAAGAAAAGTAACTCAAAAGCTAATAAACACACACACACAATTATAATTTTCATAAAAATAATAATGCACGCAACAATACCCTCCTCGTAACAGAACGGTCGCTTACGTGAGAGTGTAACCGACCTACTAATTTGGGCGGCCTTAAATAATAAACATGATTGAAATCTCTACTGTGTAGACAATATTGTATAGTTTTGTTTTGATTGTTTGGCCTACATTTAATTGCTTATTTGCTAATATACATTTGTCTTTAAGAACTATACTACAGCCCCCGTTGTTTTAAAGAAAATATGTCCTCATATTTTAAATGTATACAATAATAAAAATTTTCATTAAAAAACAATTCAAAATTTTAAGTTAATTATCAAAGCTGTATAGGATGATGTTTATGGATAGGTTGAAGGATTTTTTTTTATTAATATTATTATCTCGTCTTGTTCTACCCATTTGTTAGTTACTTCTCTTTTTTTTTTTTTTTGAAAACATATGAATATATTTTTGTATTCATTTGTAATTTGTTTTTTTTTTTATTATTATTACTCTTTTTTTTTTTACAATGTAGTTAAAAAGAGAAGACGAGTTCTATTTTTGTTAAGTGAATAAAGGAGAAAATCTGTAGTTGTTGAGAGGAAAGTGTGTGGATTCATTAGCCTGTATCTTTTTATTTTATATATACAAATACTTAAAATTTAATCCCTCTTTTTTTTAAAAACATTTTCCCCTTAAAATCGAATTCCCGTTTTCTTAAAGTTAAATTAATATTTACATTTTTTTTTTGTCCATTCCTTGGAGATGAAATCCACCAGAGCTCCAAATCTCTCCATAATTTCGTTTTCCAATTCTATATTGGATTTTCTGGTTTTGGTTGCTGTAGTCAGAGTTGTGCAAATTCTTATTCGAATAATTATTCGAATAAAACGTTATTCGAATAATTTTTCTACAAATTATTCGAATAAATTTTTATTCGACAATTTTTTCACAATTTATTCGAATAATTTTGTATTCGAATAATTTTGAAAACAACATTTTTGAATAACTTTTTATTCGAATAATATTTTTACAATTTATTCGAATAAAAAATTATTCGAATAAATAATAATAAATAATAATACTTTTCTTACGTACTTTAAATGTAAAAATGGTATAATTGATATATTCATTCAATGTATATAATGCGTAATAAAAAATGTAGGTATAAACATCATATGTAAAGTTTTAAAAAAAAAAAGTATTTATTTTCCTCTATTCTTACTATAAGATTTACATATTATTCAGCTATATACTTAATATAAAGCATATATAGTACCAAAAATAAAACAAAATATCCGAGCCTATATGTAAGAAAACATTATTGACTTAAAGCAGAATTTGATCATTTTAAATGTGTTATCTGTAAATGATAAATTTCAATAATTTATTTCATTCTGTAAATTATATCTATAAGTTGTAATTTTTTCATTTTTTTATTACAAGTTAGTAAAAAGTCAATGCCTTGTTATTATATAATTTAACTACTATTATTATTATATTAAGACATTTTTTATAATTTTTTCTTTTTGTTATTATTTCTACAACCAAATTGTGTAATAAGATTGGTGTTATTTTTATTATTAGACAGTTGTAATTTTGTTTATTTATTAGTTTTCACTAGTTTTCGCAAAACTTACTTAATTACTATTTTTTCAATGTTCTTTTGTTCTATGTCTGTATTTAAAGTAATATTGACTAAAGCTCTAACTTATTATACAATACCTATCTATATTTTATATAAACTATTTCTAAAATTGTCCTTGGTTAATTATACCACATTAATGTAATAATATCATCGTTTATATAAAAAAATGTCTACTGAGTATTCTATTTTTTTTTTCGTATTTGATAAGTAATTCCAATGTGCCTAACACAAAACTCAATTTGTGAAATCTGTAAATAAAATTAAAATACGTATAAAACACTTCACACTAAGTTTTCCAACCTTTGAAATAGACATAGGTTAATTTTATTTTTTGTAGTTAATTTGTTTTATTGAATTTAGACGGTGATAAGAAAATTTTAAATTAAATTTAAGATCTATCCTAGTGTTTATAAATAGTGCATAACATGTAATATATAATATATATTAAAAAATTATTATTAAAAAACATCACTTACAAATTCTTCGAATAATGGTGAACAGTTATTCGAATAATTTCATATATGATTACTCGAATAATGTTAGTCGAATAAAACGTTATTCGAATAATTTTAAATATGATAATTCGAATAATTTTTTTTTTCGAATAAAAATTTGTTATCTAGATAAAGACATTATTCGAGTAAAATTTATTCGAATAAAAAGTTATTCGAAAATTTTTTTTCAAAATTATTCGAATAATTTTTTATTCGAATAATTTCAAACATATTTTATTTAAATAATTTTTTATTCGAATAAAAGTGTATTCAAATAACTATTTTTGAAATTATTCGAATAAAAGTTTATTCGAATAATTATTTTTGAAATTATTCGAATAAAAGTTTATTCGAATAAAAGTTTATTCGAATAAATTTACTCGAATAATGTGTTTATCTAGATAATTATTTAGATAACGTTTTATTCGAATGATGCACAACTCTGGTTACTGCTGTCGTCGTGGCTGTTGATGTTGTTGTTGCTGCTGTCGTCGTGGCTGTTGATGTGATTGTTGGTGTTCTTGTTGCTATTGTTGTGGCTGTTGGTGTTGTTGGTGCTGTTGTTGTGGTGGTTGCTGTTGTAGTTGTTGTTTGTTGTTGTTGTAGTTGCTGTTGTTGATGTTGTCTGTTGTTGTTGTGGTTGCTATTGTTGTTGTTATTGTTGTGGTCCTAATGATTGGTACGGTCAATATTTTTTTCTTTGATTTGTTCGTGTTCTTCTGTTGTGCGCTGTTCACTTTGGATCTCCGTATTTCAATTAGCTAACCACCAGACGTTAATCCCTCCGTTGGTTTGATGTGGTTTTTGCGAGACATTTTCATGTCTTAGCTCTGGCACATAACCGAAAAAGGCGTTACCAAAAAAGCGTTACCAAAAAAGAAATGGGGTTGAAGTTGAGGTTGGGGTGGGAATGGGAATGGGGTTGGGGGTGGGAATTAGCCGGTATATAACCGAAAAAAAGTGTTACCAAAAAAAGCGTTACCAAACAAGCGTTACCACACGGAGATGGGGTTGGGGACGTGAGATAGGGGTGAGAATT